GATGAAGGTTTGTGTCTGGTGATAAATGATGAAGGTTTGTGTCTGGTGATAAATGATGAAAGTCGGTGATAAATGTGCTGACATTCATGTTTTTGTTTGACCTACAGACGTGTAGACGAAGCCCTCGTTGTTCATCGCCAGGTAGAGTTTGGTCTGGACGCCCTGGATGGCCACAACACGAAGCCCCACGGGGATCAGGTTGAACACAGCTATGAATACACACACATTTACACACACACATTTACACACACACACGCACACACGGAACGACACAGAGGGAAACAGAACGATCCTCATCAATATCACTGACATAATGACACCTCCATTTTGCAGCAGAGACGCTGTTATAAATGTTCAGTCAGGCACAGAAGCTATTATGCGTCTGGATTTAGGCACGCAATGAAAAACAAAACAACACTAAAAGGTTTGGTAAATAAATTGTAAGAAGACAAGGTTTATGAGCTTACAGCTATTTCTCTTTTCAACTTTGAATGTTTCATTCAACTATTTTTATCTGAAATCTTTCAAGGTTTTTTAGTCGTGGCAAACATCTTTATAATTCTTCTCAGTCTGATCCATGTAATTCTGTGGGGAACTGCTCATATTATTTCACACAGATCAGCCATAATATTATGACCTACGATTGAGCAGCTCTGTCCAGGATGGGGTGTCCATTCCAAAGGTTTAAGAGTTGTGGGGCAGAGTTTCTATGGATTACACTCCAAGTTTGAAATCGGAGTTTGCAGACTCACATTCTCTGAGCCGTTTCTAAGCAGGCTTTGTGGGGTTTACTGCTGTCTCCTTAAGAGAGGGGGCTGCTTCAGTAGGAGTGTGGTTACCATGTGGGAGGTGTGACTGGTCTGCAGAAATGTTTACGTCGGTGGGAAGTGTCAATGTAAAATTCATGTGAATACATGGATGCAAATTTTCCCTGCAAAGCGTCACATTTTAAAAAGATCTTGTGATCAGAAGTGGTGTAAAAGAGCTCCTTCTGGCCGTTTAACGTCTCTCCATCCACAGCAGATTGGATTTACATCTCGCTAAATTCAGTGTATCATAGAAATCTTCTCTACAGGCTGGTGGGTTTACAGCGTCAGGCTGGCTTTCTGAAAACTGAGCAGCTACATGTGATCAATTACTTCATGGATCTTTTATTTAATTCATTTATTCATTCATTTGAAATAAACAAAACAAATTCATCAAGAAGAAAGATAAACACTGAATGAAAAGGGTGCAGAAAAAAAGAAATAAATTCTTATGATATCTGCCCCTTATTTAAAAATATATAAAATAACTTTAAACAAATAACTTGGGCTTGAACATCTCCAAAGTGAAAATAAAAATATTAGACATCCTTCACTTGGCATCAACAACTTTAACTTAATCATCTTTTTAATTATCTTTGTAATCATATAAATTGTTTTTAGAAATGTTTCATGGTGATATCAAGACAATTCCACAATCCTGTTCCCTGAACTACAACACAACTCCTTCACACTCGTTCTAAATGGAGGTTTTACAAACATTTCCATTCCCTTCAGGTTATAATGACTCTCTTTTTTAACAAATTTTAACTGAATATTCAAGGGTAATATTTTTTATGAGCTTTATACATGACTTGCAAAATATCATAAAATTTTAATAATTTCAACTGATGAAATAATATATTTGTTGGGTGACCACAGCACTTCCTACTAATAATTCTTATAGCTCTTTTCTTTGTAAAATAAAAATAAGGTTTGTAATTGTTTTGCATGCTTTTCCCCAAACTTCATTACAATAGATTAAATATGGAACAATCATTACATTATACAATATATACAAAGCTTTGTCATCAAAAACTCTTTTACTTTATACAGTAAAGGAAGTGATTTTGCTATTTTTATTCTTAATTTACATGAGATTTCCATGTCAGCTTCTCATCAATAACAACACCCCAAAATTTTATTTCATTAACTCTATGAATTTCAATACTGTCAATTTTAAATGGGGCTTCGATAATTTTCTATCGTTACTAAATATCATGTAGTTTGTTTTTCCATTCATTCCATTCAGATCATTATGAGGACAATATTAATTTATTATTCTCTTGTATTGGTTTGGTGAAAAGTTGAAACAAATAAAAAAGGAGGTCAAAGTAGACGCACAAAACTTGAGTGTGTTTTTTCTGCAAAAACTGGAACCTGTTGACACGTGGAAGAATAAAAACAAATCCACAAAAAACTTGGTAATTTAAAGAGTGTTTTAAAAGTAAAAGCTTTCCAAACCAGAATCTGCACCAAAAATATATATATTTTGCTGCTCCTGTCTCTGAAGTACGAGGCCATGCTGAGCAGAAGCTGCGTGAACATGAAAAACTGTAACATGCAAAAGAACACGTGGGTGGTTGCATCAGGTAATAATTATCGCAAATAGAAATAATCAACGGGCGGCACGGTGGTGCAGTTGGTAGCACTGCCACCTCTCAGTGAGCAGGTCTCCAGTTCAAATCCCGTGCGGGTAAGATTCTGGGTGGAGTTTGTATGTTCTCTCTGTGCATGCGTGGGTTTTCTCCGGGTACTCCGGTTTCCTCCCACAGACCAAAAACATGCATGTTAGGCTGATTGATAACTCTAAATTGTCCCTAGGTGTGAGTGAGAGAGTGAATGGTTGTTTGTCTCGTTTGTCTCTACGTGTCCTCGTGATGGACTTGCGACCCGTCCAGGGTGTCCCCCACCTCTCGCACAGTGGCTGCTGGACATGGGCACCAGTGACCAGAAAAACAAGAAGCGGGTAAAGATAATGGATGGATGGAAATAATCAACAATAGCAAAAGGCTGAGGTAAAAAAAACTCATATTTCTATATCAAATGCTGTTTTTTTTCTCTCGTTGCTGGTACTATTTGTTTTGTCAGCTATGGTGTGAAGATTAAAGATTCATTGGATTCATGTACTGACAACATTAATTTGTGTCGCCTGCCACCAAAACGTCATCGTCTGTTCCTGTCTGTGGGTGACTTAGTTGCATGAACTACCAGATACAGTTTTTAATGAAACCCTTAGAACGTAATGAATGTATGTACATCTGTCTCTGAGTAACTTTAGGATTTAACCAAATGTAACACGGCCGCCACAGCCCATTAGTTATAATCCAGTCAATTGTTCAGATATTGAGCAAACATCTGACGCTGTGGTAGATCAGAGTCATCCCCAAAACATTAGCTAAGAACTACACCATGCATGGCATCTTTGCTTTAAACTCTGGATCATTCCTAATTGTCTGTTGGTAAAATATCTCAAGTTTTAACAGATTTGAATGAACTTCTAAGTAATTCATCGTTGGATGTACATCTACAACTGATTAACAATTGGAGTCAGTCTAATTTAAAATGGCTGCCACAGCTAACACAAAAAACATCTATAAATCAGATTATTTTATCGCTATTGCGCAAACCTTTGGTGTGGCAGGGGCTGAAAGTGATTTACAACATCTACTCTTACTAGTAATACATCAAGTAAACAGCTCACAATCTCACGGGACATTACACATGACGTTATTATCAAGGTTTGACCAAAACAACTATATCTCCATGATTTTTCAACGTAAGATCTTACTTTCAAATGTTGTCAAAAACAAAAGACATGCTTTTCTCCAAGGAATGTTGTTGTTGTTGTTGTACTTCCAACCCACAAACTTGAAAATGCTGCTTTAATCTGTAAGAGGCTGTAGAAGGGACATAATTATATCTCAGAGTTTTATGGTTCAAGCTGTTGCCTAATTACAGCCATTCAGCCAACCATGTTCTTTTTTAATGACTGTGGCTGTTTGGAGACTTAGATTATGGGGATTATCCATACAAACCCGGTCACGGGTTGCAGAGTTCATGTGGTGAGGCGTTTACATGATGTACACCGTATGTAATCATTTAATTAAAGAGCACACTTGCACGTGTTTGTTTTGCAGGCAACAGTCGAGGCCTGAACAGCAGCAGAGATAAACGGGAGATCAGCTGCTCACGAGGGGGAGAGCGACTGCTCTTTGAATGACAACAAGCGAATTGAATTAGCCGTATTAATCTCACATCGTGACCCGCGTTTGTATTTGCGTGACACGAAAGAATGAGACCGTTCACGGGTGCGATGTTTCATTTTTTTCCCCCTGAGATGGAAAGCAGAAAACCCACACCGTGTTTTGCGTTGATACTTAATCAATCCGTTTAAGCAGAAGGCACAGATAAATTGTTCAGATTGCATTGCCACCTGACATTTGGAGGAAAAGCACCATCGTGCTAATTAAATGAGCACTTGACATGTTGTTGAGTGACTGCCTGAATTAAATGTCCCAGATCAAATTTGTTTCCTCAGAGTGAACTTTATCATTAAATTGGATTTAGCTGGAGTTGGATGCTAACCCCCAAAGTGCATAAAAGTAGGAAATTAAATCACCCCTTGCTAGAAATCAAACCTTTGACATAAGGCAATATCATTAAGTCGCTGGAGGCAATAAGAACCCAAACTGTGATTAAAGCTGTTGAAAAAAAAACATGTTTGCAGTCTCTTCTGTACTAAATATGTTTCTATTTTATGTTTCCTGACCTTATAAAGATGGTACAAAATATACATCAGCCTGTTGGAATGATGCAGATGAAATTAAATTTCTCTTTATTTATTAAAGAAATACATCTGTAAAGATTAACATCTGCCTTTTTTTTTTTTATAAAAAAATATTTAAGTGCATGTTAGAGATGCTCATTGAAATGTCACAAGGACTGGTGAAAACAACTCCCTGAAGTAGGAATCAAAAGCAGCACATGGTTTTACTTTAATCGATGGTTAATGGGTTCCAAAGTTACTATTTTGTGAAAATTGAAACCACGTGTGTTTGTTTACCTACAGAAGCAATCAAAATGACTGAAAATAAGTAAACAATGGTGACATCCACTGTGATAGAGAAGTCTGACAACTTTAAATCTTCTGGTACAATTACATGCTCAGATATGTTGAGTAAAAATATGCTGATAAAAGTGCTTTGTTTATATTGAGTGAGTACCCACATTCACAATTGTATATCAGTATATCTGGAAAACTACTGGGGTAAAATCCTTCAAACTGCGCAATGTGTTTTATGTCCGACTTTATACTTTTCCATGAGTGCTTTAAAGAACATTTTACATATTTATATTAATTTAACACTGATTTATAAGCTGAAAACAAGCTGTTTAGTGAATTGCCAGAAATTTATTTTGTTGATAATCAGCTGAATGGTATACAAATTTCTTTACGATGGTAGGAAATTAAATATCAATGGGCTTTAGATCTGTGATAATCTTCGTATTTCCCAATACTTGCTGGCTTTTTATAACCAAAATGCTCAATCAGTGTTGCACAAAGAGCGTCTGATTAATCAATAAGGAGATAAATTACTTGCACAAGTAAACTGGATTTTGAAAAATGAAAGATAATCAGACTTTGGTGAGGCGTACCGTAGGTGCTGTCTTCATCCTTGGTTCCATCGATGGTGCCATCAGGCTGCATCTGCAGCTGGAAGCCCTGTCGACTGGAGAGCCTGGTCACAATGCCCTTTAGCTGGGGCTCTGGGGGGGGGGGGGGGGACAAAAGGAGCTACGTTACCTCAGTTTGTTCATGGTCAAACGATCAAATGTATCAAACCCATCTCGTTTTGGGAAGCAGAAAAAGTCAGTGAGGAGAGGTTGTCACCGAGGGCCCAGTTGCCCTGAGCCCTCCCTGACACCTGAAAACTTGGATTAAAACCAGATGATCCTGTTTCTGATTTGTTTGTTCCAGACACCTGCTGCTACAGTTTCACTGTGAATAAAGTCGTTAGATGCTTCCTGCAGCATGAAGAACACATGCAGTCAGACAGAGGGTGACAGATGAGGATGTGAGGATGAAAACACAGTATTGTATAGATAATGGTGGTAGAGATGATGATGGCTGAGATGATGCTGGAGCCCCATGATGCTCAGACTGACCACCCCCCACCCCATCCATCCATCCCTCAGACCTGGAGGTCGCTTCCTCTTCCGTTTCTTCCTCGATCCGAACAGTTTCACGCGGGAGAACACATTCAGCTTGCTCGGCTTCTCGTTGGCGCCCTTGCTGTTGCTCGGGCTGCTGCTGCCGCGGCACGCGTTCGCCTTCTCCCGCTCGCGCGCCTGACGCTTCTGGCGGATGAGGGAGCTGGCGATGGCCGCTGCCCGGGACATGCTGATGTGGAGTGAGTGAGACGAGACTGTGCGTCCCCGGGCTGGAGAGAAGGGGAGGACTGTTCGGTGCAAGGAGGGAAAGGAGGGAGGGACGGAGAAGGGGAGTGTGGGGGGGGGGGGAGGTTCTACGCCACCCACAAGTCAGTTGGCATCACACACCGGCCGCTGCAGGAGGCTGGCAGGTGGCTCCAAAACGCGTGATGATCCAGAATCCTCCATCCGTGCGTCCGCGCTGCGCCTCCTCATGGATCCGGAGATGTTCCAGCGGCTCCCATCCCCCTCCAGAGTATGGAGGGAGTGGGGGGATGGGGGGGGGGGGTCTAAGTGGTAAAAACTTAACCCCTCAATTGATTTTTTTTTTAAGTGTCCAAAAGAGCGTGGATGTAGATGATCTAGCCCAGGTCTGAGTGAAAGATAACAGTTTTCTTGGTGATGATGATCACTGCAGCTGTCGCCTCTTCTCCCGCTCTCCTCCTCTTCCTCCTGCTCTGCGCCGCTCCCCCGGGGGTGCCGCTCCACTCCTGGACGCAGACAGAAATGCACCAAGCCGGATGTTTGTCAATGAAACGCGGCGGGAGTCAGCCGGAGAGAGACGGAACATGATGCGTCCGCGCCGTTCATAAAACTGCTGCAGCCCTGCCCGCACCCGAGGAGGAGGCGTGAAGAGGGGGAGGAGGAGGAGATGGGAGGAGAGGGTGAGGGGGGCGATGAGGTTTAGAGGTGCTGCTTCACATATAGGGGCACCTGTAGCCCCCCACGTGGCGTGATATTTACATGTTCCACTGAAACACTGATGGGTGATGGGCAGGCCCAGGGAGAGGAGGGAGTTTGAGGAGGTGCGTGCACGGGTCGTTTGAGGATGCATGCAATGCACGAGGAGGAGAATAAACAGAAAAGGGGGCGGGGAGGGGCAGACGGACGGGTGAGTAAATGAATGAGAGGAGGGATAATAGAAGAGGGGGAGAAATGAGGGAAGGAGTGCGCCTGCGACAGAAAAGGGGAACAGAGAGGGAGGAAAAAAGATGAAGTATAAAAGTAAAAAATGAAAAAGAAGAGCGAGGTGCAGCGAGTAAAACAAAAGGAAGAATCGTTTTTTACTTATTTGATGGCAGGAAGAACAAACTAACGGCCTACAGGCGCATATGGACGCACTGAGGGAATGCACATCGCCCGCCATCTTTCCCGCCAGAGGTTTTAGACTGAGATGATGCTTTGGTGAGAAGTGTTGGAGTCGTTTTGGTCGAAGCTTTGAAGGTGGAGTTCACGCTCAGAGGTTGAGCTGTGAATGAATCGTCGAGTTGTTCCCTTCTGTGTTGGCCCATGTCGATTAGCTGTGGCGGCCATCTTGAACAGGACTGACTCCAACAGTTAATCAATTGTATTTGTACATCCAGCGCTTACTTTCTGAGAGTTTCATTAAAATTCATCCAGCGGTTCATGAGATATTTTGCTAACAGACAAACAGCGTTGGCTCAAACAGTTAATGCCAGTGTTTTGAGCAAAAATAAAGCTTACTGTAAAAAGTTTGGAGTATGTGTTGGGGCTAATGTTCAGCTACTGCCACAATAAATTTGAGCTCAGCATGAGAAAAACCGGTTGAGTTAAAGCCATTTCTGTGCTGCACAATGTCGATTGGCTGTGGCTGCCATCTTAAATTGGGTTGACTCCAAATGTAAATCAGTTAAAGATGTAAACCCAATGGTTCTGAGAGTGTCATTAACATTTGTTCAGTGTTTCATGAGGTAATTTGCCAACAGTCAAAGAGAGTTGATGCCATGAGGTAATGCTAGTTTAAAGCAAAGATTTGCACAACAAGTAGCACCTGGAGTACGTGTTGTGTACTCTCAACAAGTTTTAACACAATATCTATAAAAATTGACTAAATTATAGCCATTCTTGTATTTTCTAAGTTCAGCTGGCTGTGGCAGCCATCTTGAATCCAGTTGACTGCGAAAGCTAATCAGTTGTAGTCGTCCATCCGGTGATTATTTGCTGCAAGTTTCATTAAAATTCATCTTGTGGTTTGTGAGATATTTTCAATTCAATTTAATTCAAAAGTATTTTATTAATCCCAAAGGGAAAATAAATGTTGTTGTAACTCGTTATCCTTGTTTCATTAAGAGTTGTTATAGATACTGATGGTTGTAGACAGGAAGGATCTATTGTAAAGGTCTGTCTCACGGTGGATCCAAAGAAAATGGCCGCAGATGCTGACCGATCCATCCGCCCAGACTCGACTGGCCTCTTGGTTCCCTCAGGCTGCAGGATCACCCGGATCCTGAGAAGAACTCCACCCTTAGTGATGGCCACTCCTCCCAGCAGCCTGCCGAGCTCCTCGTCACTGCAGACAGCCGGCTGTAGGTGTCGGGATATGATCATGGTCTTTGCTGTCATGAGTCACATTTCCTGCCAATTCCAGGACCTCAGTGGTCAGGCACTCGAGCACAGCTGGCAAGGAGATAGGAATGCATCCACGGTGCCTCCTTTTCAACTCATTTGACATTTGGGGTTGCAGTTGAGGTATTATTTAAGCTTTTCAGACGATAATCAGCAGCTCCCAGTTGTAAAAAAAAAAAAAAAACCTGTTGTCATGGTTACGCATCAAAACAAATGTCCAAAAGGAAAGAGGTTTCAGTAAAAATCCTTCCATCTGCACAGCATTTGATACCAGAGGAAACAATCATCCGAAAAAAAGGGTGATTTACATCCAGAAAAAGAGGAATGAAGTTTCCAAAAGCAATATGCCAGAATGAAGGTAACAGAACTACTCCAACATGCAACCACCGCAAGCGGCACAATTCTAGAATTATGGAATTCATGTACAATTAATGAATTAATGTAATTAATGTATTGAAAAACACAAGCAAAAACAATTATCACTTCGACTTCGCTTTTTAGCTATAAGTGATAAAAATGTGTCAAATAATGAGACATATTGTAAATTCACTCCGTGGAAAATGTCAAAAAGAAACACACAAGACTGTGAAGGGAAGAGGAGGAGCTCACAACCTTTTTTTTGGTGGTGCATAGGTTCACCTCTGAGAGTCTGCAGCTCACAAGAAGGAGGTGAATAACAGAAAGAGCAATTCAGATTAGATGAAGTGTGTCGTTTCTCTCCAGACATTTTATTTTGCATTATTGCACCGGAGCAGTGGTACCAGCTCAGAGCAGCAATCAGCCACTTCGTGCACATGTGCGGGCCACAGGCGGGCCCCACAGGAAAACAGATGAGCAGCTGTTGCAGCCGCATACACCCACAGTGCCTTGCGAAGGTATTCGGCCCCCTTGAACTTTTCAACCTTTTGCCACATTTCAGGCTTCAAACATAAAGATATAAAATTTAATTTTTTTGTGAAGAATCAACAAGTGGGACACAATCAAGAAGTGGAATGAAATTTATTGGATGTGTCAAACTTTATTAACAAATAAAAAACTGAAAAGTGGGGCGTGCAATATTATTGGGCCCCTTTACTTTCAGTGCAGCAAACTCACTCCACAAGTTCAGTGAGGATCTATGAATGATCCATGTTGTCCCAAATGACTGATGATGATAACTAGAATCCACCTGTGTGTAATCAAGTCTCCGTATAAGTGCACCTGCTCTGAGATAGGCTCAGGGTTCTGTTCAAAGTGCAGAGAGCATCATGAAGACCAAGGAACACACCAGGCAGGTCCAAGATACTGTTGTGGAGACGTTTAAAGCCGGATTTGGATACAAAAATATTTCCCAAGCTTTAAACATCCCAAGGAGCACTGGGCAAGCAATCATATTGAAATGGAAGGAGTATCAGACCACTGCAAATCTACCAAGACCCGGCCGTCCCTCTAAACTTTCATCTGGAACAAGGAGAAGACTGATCAGAGATGCAGCCAAGAGGCCCATGATCACTCTGGATGAACTGCAGAGATCTACAGCTGAAGTGGGAGAGTCTGTCCATAGGACAACAATCAGTCGTACACTGCACAAATCTGGCCTTTATGGAAGAGTGACAAGAAGAAAGCCATTTCTCAAAGATATCCATAAAAAGTGTTGTTTAAAGTTTGTCACAAGCACCTGGGAGACACACCAAACATGTGGAAGAAGGTGCTCTGGTCACATGAAACCAAAATCAAACTGTTTGGCCACAATGCAAAACGATATGTTTGGTGTAAAAGCAACACAGCTCGTCACTCTGAACACACCATCCCCACTGTCAAACATGGTGGTGGCAGCATCATGGTTTGGGCCTGCTTTTCATCAGCAGGGACAGGGAAGATGGTCAGAATTGATGGGAAGATGGATTGGGCCAAATACTGGACCATTCTGGAAGAAAACCTGTTAGAGTCTGCAAGAGACCTGAGACTGGGACGGAGATTTATCTTCTAACAAGACAATGATCCAAAACATAAAGCCACATCTACAATGGAATGGTTCACAAATAAACGTATCCAGGTGTTGGAATGGCCAAGTCAAAGTCCAGACCTGAATCCAATCGAGAATCTGTGGAAAGAGCTGAAGACTGCTGTTCACAAACGCTCTCCATCCAACCTCACTGAGCTCGAGCTGTTTTACAAGAAAGAATGGGCAAGAATTTCAGTGTCTCCATGTGCAAAACTGACAGAGACATACCCCAAGAGACTTGTAGCTGGAACTGCAGCAAAAGGCGGCGCTACAAAAGTATTAACGCAAGGAGGCCGAATAATATTGCACGCCCCACTTTTCAGTTTTTTATTTGTTAAAAAAGTTTGACACATCCAATAAATTTCATTCCACTTCACGATTGTGTCCCACTTGTTGTTGATTCTTCACAAAAAATTTAAATTTTATATCTTTATGTTTGAAGCCTGAAATGTGGCAAAAGGTTGAAAAGTTCAAGGGGGCCGAATACTTTCGCAAGGCGCTGTATCTACAGCAAGCCCAGAGGAAGAGGAGGAGGAGGAAGACTCACATCGAAGGCCCATCAACATGTGGGACCGAACACCAATCAGTGCCGGGTGTTCTTCAGAGGAAAAGATGGTGAGAATCCCTGAAAAGGAGCCAAATTCAATAACTGACT